GGAAAACAGCTGAGTGGTGAAACAGGTGGGTGGGATTAGGGTAGAGGAGCTGGAGGCGAAGGTCTACACTGGGGATCAGCCCTGTGCCAGGCAAGATCTGCTGCACGGAGGGTGAGAAATGGAAGTGCTTTATGCCCATGAAGAGCGGGTAAAAGCTGCCCGTTCCCGCGAGCAGCACCACTGATGGAGCCGTGCGTCCTCACCAGGCATCCTGCAGCTGAACTCTCCAGTGTCTGCGATGCCAGGCGAGATCTCCGTTCGTCTTCCTCCAGCACCCCAGTGGGGTCTCTCTCCTCTACTCAGCTGCTGATTTTCCACAAATTCTCAGGAAGGCAATAACCTTTACTCCCCTGCTACGCAGGGGCAAAGTCAACGGTGAGCAGTAAGGGAGGTGCAGGCAGATCCGATCCCCCACCTGAGCCAGCCAAGCTCCTGCAGTCACTCAGCACACAACGCGGTTGTAAGGCACACGCAAGGAAGCTCAGGCGCTTACACCCCCTCGGGTGCACCGATCAACTGAGGCAGGGGCAATATTCGGAGGGGAACTCAAGGTAACCCTGCAGCACCCTCACCCCCTACCCCCCCCACCCCCCCCCAGCAGCCACCACATGGCAGCGGGTGCTTGGGGAGCGTTAATGATGCTGGAAAAGCTGCCGCAGAAGTTGGACACCATCATCCTACTTCAGAAAATAAACAGATAAATGTCACTCACTGTCCAAGTGCTATCAGCACAGACGCTGTTGTCAATAAATCAGAAGTATCTAGGAACAGCTTGAACAACTTTTATTTTTTTTTAAAGTGCTTAAAACGTAAATAACAAGCTCTTTATAAACATTAGTTGCAACTATTAAAACATGAAACACACAGAACCTACTTCCTGCGTACATAAAGTACAGGGAAATCAACAACTCCAAAAAACCCAATGCTTATCTCTCCCATTTTGGGATGTTTTTCCACCCCACGTTTATAACACAAAACACACGTCGGTTTCTTCACAGACAAGTTGTAAGGCTTAGTCTACGTGACACTTCAGTATCCACATCCTTTCAGGTTTGTTCCAGTTTAAGGATATACCTTGGCGGTTCCTCTGGCCCATGACTCTGGGACAGAAGGGCCAGTCAAGGCAAAAATAAATCACTCGGCCAGAGTTCTTTCAAAGCAAGAAACCCAGTTGTGGGCTGACAACAAAAGCAGAGCACGGCTGTGAGCAACAGCACCCTGCGGAAGACCTTGTGAAACGGCTTAAGCGTAAAAAGAGAAAGACAGAGCAGGAGGCAAAAACACACAGTAATTGTTATGGCTGTGTTTAAAACGGAACCAGTGAAAAGCTGCTGCTGGCCCATTAAAACCCTTTCATCTGCTCAGTTCAGCAGAGAGCGACAGATCTCAGGGTGTTACCCTGCACACTGACCAGAAGTGCTGCTTGCCTCCCTGTTCTTGCAGATCAATTGCTAAATATGGAAATTTGGGACATGAGCAACTTGAGAACATTTCCCCCACTTCTTTTTCTCATCCCTTCCCTCCCCCATGAGAAAACATCTAGGTCCTTGAAACCATTCCCCTCTGGTAACTTAGAGGTTTTAACAAAAAAATTACACAGACTCTGGCTTCAGTGCTGTTGTGTGGTATGGCAAAACTTGCTTGCTCTTACGCAGAGAATAAAAACTAGTGGGGGAAAAAAACCCACATATGCAGGACAGTGGGGTGGAGAAACAGAGAACGAAGACAGAAGCATCTTTAAGATGCCTTTTCCTAAGCACAAGTCCTCATTTGTAGATACCTCTGGACTTCTAAACACTCGAGAACAGACATGAAACATCTGGGGCAGCCTCAGCTGTCATCACTGCTTGTTTGTTTCCGTAGCCCCTTGTCTCACGTGCGATGCCAAGGTACCCGTGCTGTACCTGTACCTCGGCCTTTGGAGATGCTCTGCTATCACAAAGTCAAGGCGAAAACTTTTTAGCTCTGCTTGCTCCAGCCTCCTCCGAGACGGCGCGGGCTCCTGCGACGGAAGGCAGTTCAGGGACTGTGTTGCTCCGCTGCAACGGAGGCAGGTGATAGGAGGAAGCACGTATTGCTGAAAAGGCCGTACACCCGATACAGCCTGCTGTAGCTCTGAGATTAAGTTGAATATATAAAGTGCAAAACATTCAAGCTTTGGAGAAAAAAAGGCAGAGCTCACTAAGGCAGAGGGGGGATTAGAGAGATGGTGAAACGTGATGGCAGAGGAAGGGGAGAAGGCAGGGAGGAGGGGCAGCAAGTTCCTTATAAACATTGGCACTTGTGTGTGGGGAGCACCTACAATGCCGATCACTGATGGGGGAGAAATCCCAGGAAGCAGCTATTTTTCAGGGAGCGGAGAGCCAGCATGGGCCCCCGGCTCTGGTGTGAGATTTCGGCTCTACGCCTCCCCATTACTAATGCCCACCTGACATAAGCCCTGACCGCTCAGCATCCCTGCCCGTTGGTGGGGCTGCCCCTTCTCCCAGCCCTCCTTCCCATGCCACACCACTCTTCTGACGCTGGACTGCTTTCTTAGCTGCCCGCAACTCCTCCCTGCTCACCTGCAGGTAAAAGGAAGAGCTTCTTCACGAGAAAGAGGCACCCAGAAAGGGAATCTAATTCTCAGGCCATGGGATCTTTTGATAACATAGGCAGAGAGAGGTTTCTGGTACTTTTCTAAAATGGGAGAAACACCTTTCCTCAGACCCTCACATCTTACACCAGAAACAGAGTCCCCGCACCTGAGAGACACATGGGAAGGAATAACATAAAGACACAGGGAGAGAAGTGCAAAACCCCAGATGACTTCCGACTAGGGGCAAAGGCAGGTACGAATGAAAGGCTCATAGCCGGTATCTTCCCAGGTAACAAATCCTCCTCCTCATACGATAGTATAGCAGCTAGATATGACTGCACGTTGTCAATGACAGCAACACCAAATCTCCTTTTCTCCTGATAGCTCTTACCCCAACAGCCTGCTTCTCCAACCTCAGACTTTGAGCATGACCCAACACTGCTCTCTTTATCCAGCTGTATTTTGTCTTGGAACATTTGGCCTGCTCTTCCCTCAGTGCCATCTCTTAATATCTCGACCTCCCACGCCACGCGAGCTGCCTGTGCAGAACTCCTGCCAAAGCAACCTGCACACAGGGATGGGAAGGCTCTGCTGTCTGCGTTTAAAAATAAATTCACCTAGTTCAGATTAGCAGGCAAACAGAAGAGAAAGCTGCCCAAGATGGGTTGCGTTGAACGGAGAATTGGATTTCAGAACCTTTTTTCGTGGGGAACTGCTATTGTCCTATTGCAAAAGGCACAATTTTTCAAAGTCGTGGTATACATTGAAGCAAGTAAGGAGAAAAGAGTATGAAGGTTTTAAAAGAATCCAGTAATTTTGGGAGATCTACAGGAGAGCAGATGCCTTACATGTCAACACAGCTCAAGTCCTGCACCAACTGACCCTCTGCCTGCACGGGACCAATCTCTAGCCAAAAACCTGGCAGAACGAGAGAGGGAGCAATATCCTTTCTATACCCTTCCACAGCATTTCCAAATCAAAAGCTGCACCGTACTCGGGTGCGACCAGGAGCATCGCTTACCAGCCTCAGGCTGACATCATCTACGGTTGTTAAACCGCGTAAATCAGAGGCCTTTAGACAGTCACTCAACACTTAACAGCAAGAAGCATCCAACTCCCAAGAGAGCTGGCCTACAACGCCTAAGGGTGGGCCCAAGCCGCCAGAGACCTGACGCTGGCACATAGATGCGATACAATTTGAGCGGTGTTTGGTACTAATACTGGCTTGAAGGGGGTCTGCGACGATTACTGAATTGCTAGCTTTGAGAGTGTTTGACAGATGCCTGACCCAGCAGGATGTCATGCATAGAGGTGGCCGGGCGGTGAGACATCTTTTTCTGCACACAATCTTCAGTCCTGATAGCATTTTCCTGTTGCACGGAAAAAGACGATGCAAAGTCAGTGGTGGGGGCAGCCAATGGAAAGCAATTCCTGTGGACGCAGGAAAAGAGGAGTGTAATACTGAGTAGAAAATTCAGCTGTGGTTTATACATACAGGAGTTTCCCCCCGGGGCACACTGGTGCCAGCCAGCCCAGTGACGGGTTGGGTGGTGTGCGAGAAGATCTCCTGCAGTACTGACGGTGCACAAACCATCACTGGCCTTTCTCCCATACTGCAAGTTCAGTTTTGAGCTGGGTAACTGAGGCAGCATCACTACTGCATGCACACAGCGAAGGAATCAACACCACTCACAGTCAGACAGTGACGTTGACTTGAGTCCTTTACAGCCTGCAACTCCAGCGCTGTCGCTTTGTGTAGCGTCTCCCATACAGTCAGGTACTGGCACAACATGGAGCTGGCTCTTCAGACGCAGACCCTTTGTTTTGGGGTACAACATATGGGGCAGGAAGGAAAAGAGGCATGCAACAGTAGCCCCTTCCACTAACTGCCCTGCTGAGCAGGCTTAACAGACAGTAACATGCTGGTAGACCTTTACTGAGTTTAAGCATCCTCGATGTCATCAACCAATTCAACACCATCCATCAGCCAGGGTACACCACTTTAGAGAAGAGAGATGTGGAAGAGTGTGGGCAGAAGTGCAGCAGTAGCAGGATGAAGACATGGATGAGGTGGCTGGTTTTGAGCTCTCAAATGTCCATGGACCACTTAAAGCATTGGCAGGATGAGTGCCTGAGAAGAGGTCACTTGGTCACAACAACAGGAACCTAAGGAGGCATTTGCCTCACGTAGAGGGCTCTGCTCCTCCCCACAGGGTGGATAACAGCCCACCACCCTATAGCTCCCTGGAGCCAGAGCTGGGATAAGCTTGGGCTGGGGAGGAGCAGATAACCTTTCCTGCTAAATTCTGCTAACAGAAGCCACTGGAGTCCTCTTGTGAGAGGAGGGGGGTGTGCAGGGATGTTTGCAGCCTGTTTATTGGCGAAGTGCTCTAGGCAAGTGATGCTGGTCTCTGGGGAGAGGTTACTTGGTCTTGCTTTCCCCCAGTGGGATCTGGAGGAGTGTGGGAGACTGTTCCATGATGCGCACCAGCAGCTGGTCAATGTAGTTCTCCAGTTCATGGATGTGCTCCTCCTTCTTGCTCAGCTCCTTCTCCCTCTGCAGCAGGAGCTGGATGAGTTCATCATGGGTCAAGTGATAATACTTGGCTGACTGGTCCAGTACGGTGGGATCCTGTGGTAGAAACCAAGAAGAACATTCAGTAAGTCCAATGAAAACTGCTGCTCCCTTCAGCATTTGCAAGGTGCAGCAACAACCAAAGCAATCAGTATTTTCTATGTGTCTTCTTTCCATATCTGACCTGATGAGCCTGAGACATTGTGCAGCTATCACATCGTGTCTTTACACAGCAGCTTTCCCACGTGCCGTGCAGTCACCCAAAAATACTGGAAACAGAACAACCGCCCAGACTCCAGGCCAATGCAACCTCCCTCATATGGCTAGAGGTGACTGCTGAGCACTTCCACCAGCTCAGTGAATCATTTAACAGGGTTTCCCCAAAGAACGCGCCAAACCTCTTTTCCCCAACAGTTAGAAGCTAAGGGCATGGGCATAAAGGAGCCCATGAGCCCAGCATAATGAGGCCTGGTATTAGCTACTCCCCCTTCCCCAGTCCTCCAGCAGCAGGCCTGAATGATGGCAGGAGAAGATAATTAAGAGCTGAAAGATCTCTAAGGAGCTTCCAGAGGAGAAGAGCCCCAGGGGAGTCCACTGAGGCGAACCCCAGCAGCAGCATTTTACATGTTAAGTTGGAGAGGCAAAGAGAACAGCAGTAGACAAAGGGAAGGAGAAGGCAACCCCATGAGACTGTGCCCTCAGACATATCACACAGGTATTTTGCTTGCCTCAACATGCCAACATTTAAAATACAGCCAGGCAAGCAGCATTCGAGCAAGGCTCCAGAAGACACCTTCCTTCTGCCTCTGTCAGGAGAAAAAACCCTTCAGGCCTTCAGTCAGGCAGCTATCACAACCTCCATCTTTTATGTCTTGTGGATAACCAGGTATTCGCTCACACGCTGTACAATAAAAAGCCCAAACCAAAGCAAGCAATGATAGAAGAATAGTGGGGTAAGAAAGCCCAGAGACCAGGTCATGGAGAAAAGGAGACCAGCAGGAGGCTGGGCAACCAGGATCAAGGATGTCAGGGTTAATAAACATGGTTCTGGTCACACTGTGGCAGGACCCTGTTCTACCTCCTCCAACACCAGTTTTCTGCACCTCTGTCATCGACTATAGAACATCTCAAGCAGGTGGGAATGCAGCTCCCTCAGTGGTAGGTTCCTACCTTTAACTTCTTTGAGTCTGTTTTCTCTGGCTGAGAGGATGGGGCCACAGGCTGGACGCTGCTCGTGGTGACTGTCTTCAGCTTCTCCAGGCCATTGCTCAAAGCGGTCGTCAGGCTGGACCTGTGCTGCTGCTTCTTCTCGCTGGAGACCTCTTGCACCGCAGCGCTGATGGGTTTCACTGGGTGAGGACTAAGGAAAACAAGGAGGTTGGACATTTAACACCCTCCCAAGCTGGGGAGTGACGCTGCTGCCTCTCCCTATGGTTTTTAAGGGGATGGGACCCACTTATTGAATTTACTCAGCTCCACACAGCTAAATGCTCTGTGCCTGTGTTGCTCAAAGCTCACCTGCTCGGAGGAGAGAGAGAGGAGAGCCATCATCCTGCAGAGCAGGCAGCCCACAGCACTCTCCAACACTGTTTCTACCGGGAGAGGAGATAAGGAGCCCCAGGAAATGTGTTCAGCCAAGACAGAGAACAGATCCCCGTGCCCACACTTACGCTGCTCAGTCCGCGCAGAGGGGCTGTGGGTCAAAACTCCCGGCTGCCAGGTCTTGGAACAGCTGAGGGAAATTTAACCCAGGTCCAATGTAATTGGGGGCTCCTACATCCACTGCCCAGAGGGGCATTTCGCTGCCCAGGGGCACCCAGATTAGTGCCTGGGTTTACCACTGATGCTCCAGGGATGCTCCTGCACCACTACGCATCAGTTCCTGTACTGCCTCAGCCCAAGAGCTGGGCTACACCTGCCTGGAAAATACCACAGAATTTGTGCCCCTCCACTAACCAAAAGGGAGGGTGAGGACACTGTATCTGAATGCACTTTCTCTGTCAGTTAAGGAGGAATTGCATTTTCATTTATTTTTGCCTTGCTCTTCGCTCAAAAAATTGTTTCTGGCCTTAGAGAAAAGTGAGTTTGTTTTTCAGTGTGATGGAAAGAGAAGTGACCTGATGCTCCCTTCCTGCAAGGAACAGGCAGACCTGTGCACCATACTCAGGATGAAAAGATCATAAAATCTACCTGGGAGCTCTGCAAAGCCTCTACACTCATCAGATGCAGCAGCCACCCCGCAAAGGGTGATAATCCCAGCTGCTGTGCATCCAAACAAAGCTGCAGGGAAAGGGGAACACCTTGCTCACAGGAGCTCTCAAGCAAGGCGGCCAAGTGCAGTCTCTCTTTACAAATGGTGACCTCAGGGTATTGGTGGGACGGGTTGTGGGAAGAGGAATAAAACCCACAATCACCATGTGAGCCATTAGCCCGGCTGGGACAGACCCATCTCAAGTCCAGCTTGTGCTGTAACCACTCAACTGGGCTTTATTTCCCTTTCAAAAGCAGAGCAGGTGGCTTTTGACCCTGCTCCACGTCAGAGATGATGGGTGAGGCTGTGACAAAGGCAGCATCACATAAGGCAGCAGGTGGATGGCCCAGGTCCTCAAGGCTGGTGTCTTCATGCCTTGTCAATGGTGACGGGATCAGGATGTACCAGCAATCCCTCCATTGTGCTGACAGGGCATGTCTAGAAGTCCTCTTTGACCACGATGATGCCTCCTGTCATTCATTTGCTAGGAGAGGACAGCAATGGTAGCCACTGACCAGCTTCAACAAGCCAAAGGGTTAACACCCTTTGTCAGAGCTGTCGAAGCACGTGGACAGAGCCAAGGCTTCCCCGACAGTTTGAAAGGATGCAGAGGGATCCCACAAATCCGAGTGGGAGTCCACTGACAGCGCCAGGGGTTGGACAAGTTCCTGTTCTGCATGTCAGCCTCCAGCACTCTCCACCCTGGACTAAACCCTTCACCAGCAGAGCTGCAAACACCATGGTACCACGCTACAAGTGGTCCAGCAGTTGTCCGTTTGTTATGACGTATGATGGGGTGAGGTGAACCAGACCGAAGGCTGTGCACAGATCCTGAAAAAATGCTCATTCCCAAGTCCTTTAAAAAACAGAAGTAATGACTTTGCTTGCTCGAACCACTGCTAGCCTCCTTCCTAGCCCAAGATGAGTGGGGTTCACTGCAGGATCTGGGGAAGACAGCTCTAATACCCTTGTAGGACTTCTGCTGTTCCTCAAAACAATGTCTGGGAAGGAGAGTGGCTGGGGAGCCACCAGGACTGCTCATCTCAGCCAGATCTAAAGATAAGTAGCCCCAAATGGCACTATTGCCTCATGCACCCCCACAGCATTCCCACAGCAAGCCCAGAGACTAAGACCAGAGTACGGCTGCAGAAGCAGGAGACTGCCACCCCTACGCAAGAGGTCTGCAGGGCACTGGCTGGCCGTAAGGAACACTCAAACCATTTTAAACCTCTGAAGGTGACCTCTTTTGGACCAAACTTACCAAGGGCACTCTACAGAATGAAAACCTGCTACTGCCTTGGGATGCCAGTGGAATAGCTTGGATGCATTTTGAAAGCAGGGGGACATTTCCCATTGCAAGTCTGGTCACAGGTGGCTTTCAGCCCCATTGCTAGTGGGAACACATTAACTTCTGCAGAGCTGGAAAAGGTATTAAAAAAAAAAATTATCCCCTTCTTTTCCTGCTGAGAGGGTAGTGTGTTCAGGGCTCCTGTTGAGCAAAGCAGGGGCTCTGTCCCCTCAGCTTGTCACTCTGAGAGGTTTGAAAGCAGGAGGCATTCCTCCACCTGCGTCCTGCCCTAGGATGGTCGGCACCGGGTACTTCAAGGGGAGCAGAGGTTGCTTCGTGCCTTATAGCCATGTCTGAAGTCCTGATGGATCTGCCAAGAAGTTAGACCTGTTTCCATCGATGAATGTGAACTTGAGAGTAGAATTAGTTGCTCACACTGACAGCCTGCCTAATCCACTACTGCATCTCTGAGTGGACATAAGTCTACGATGCAGCTTAACATGTTCAAGGTGAAACATCTCAGGATGACAGTGGCACAGCCCTGGTCCCCCTCTCTCAGCAAGCCTTGCTGTGTCACAGCACAGCTTTCACCAATGTTCCTGAGGTGATTGCTAAGCACAGTGAAACACTGGGGAGATTCCCCTACAGCAACTCAGAAATTATGTCTTTATCAATCCATCAAAATGCTTCTCACAGAGAGCAAGACAACAAATACAAGGCAACCAGTGTCTCATGGGTAAGCTGCTGTGCCTGCAGCAGCATGCAGCACCTGAGAACCCGACCTCTGTGAAGAAAGGGTCTACAGGAAGAAAGGCAATTACTGAACTCGGGATCAGCAATTTTTCTCCCAGGTCTATCGTGGACATGGCAAGCCACTCTCCAAGCTCCAAGGGCTCCACAAGGAATACATTCGGAATGGTCTACAGGAAGAAAGGCAATTACTGAACTTGGGATCAGCAACTTTTCTCCCAGGTCTATCGTGGACATGGCAAGCCACTCTCCAAGCTCCAAGGGCTCCACAAGGAATACATTCGGATCACCAAGACTGGCATGTGATTTAATCCGAAACCTCGTTTTCAGAAGAGGACGATTCTGCTGCACTCCTGACATTGGGAAGGCACAAAGCAGTGTGCCAATACCACCTTGGCACCTGTGACATTCCCAATCTTGTCACATGCAAGTGCCATGACATGCTGCAGCAGTCAGACATCTGAGTTCCTGATCGATGTGTAAGGAGTTGAAAAACTGCTGGGCTCCTCCAAGGCAGTGGAGTCCCCAAAGCACTGTCATGGGCTGTCCTTTACATCCCACCTGTACTGCGAGATGTGACCAAAGACACCTTCCCAGCAGTGGAGGCACCATCCCGCCCTTCCCCGAAGAGCAGAAAGGGGAGCCTCCGTACACGTGAGTGTTGCAACTGATGCTTGGAGCACCCACCTTACCCCAGTGGCACCAGTTCTGTGGCAAGTGCCCTCCCTCGCTGCAGGAGAGCAGGGAAGGATCTGCAAATGCAATCCCAAAACATGCTGTTCTGGACTCTGAATTCCTCAGCTGCATCTTCAAATCTGGCACACATGCAGCTGTTCCAGGAGGGCACAACCTCCCAGCTCGCTGTGACTAGGTGGTGCCCCAGCCAGACTAGGTGGGAGGTGCTGGTGTCACTCAGGTATACAAGTCTTGACTTGCCATCTTGAACAAGATGACCAGCAGAGAGCCCTCTGGCCACCTGGGAAAAGGACATGGGTCCCCACACCCAGTGTCCATCTCTCCCAAGGAGGGCACATAATCCCAGCACACCAGACTCTCAACAATCTACACCAGGTACCAGCTCCTCCTTTATCTGATGGGAGAGAAAGACACTTTTGTCCCAGCTAAGCCTTAATGCCTGTTCTAAGTTTGAAGTCTTTCCTTTTTCCTTCCACCTTTTTTCTACCGTATCTTTTCTTTGTCTACATGCCATTGACCATCCTAATAGAAGACAATTTTAGGAAAGGCAAGCATTACCATGGGGACCCAGAAAAGGGCCCTGCCAGCTTTCCTCTCTCCCCTCATGACAATCAGTCACATCTCCCCAGTCTTATAAAGTAGTGCAGAACATCAGAGCCTTCCACAAAGACCTCCGTAACTCTTCAAATGTTCTTCAATCACAGTAGCAAGTACCCAAAACATCCGCCTTTTACAGGTAGAGAAACCAGAGCAGACCTGTTCAAGGACTTCTCAGATGTGTATCATGACAGAAGCCAGCACTGACATGACGACCAACTCTTATGTCCAAGCCCACTTTCTTCCCACAAGCCAGTCAGGCATTGGATGGATGCACAGTCAAGCCTGAAGATGACTGTGAGCATGTACCATCGACATAGAGGGTCCTGGGACTATACTTCTCTCATTGCCTAATTTTACCCTTTGGGATTGCAGGACACTTCTCTTTCCATGAAACATAACAAACATCAACAAAATTCTGGATGTTTCTGTATACTCTCTATCTGCAAATTTTGAATTAGGTTATATGTTGGAGGATGAACAATCTGATTAAGAATGATTTGAGGATCTGGCCTCAATAAAGAAAAAACAATCATCTAATAGACCCATCTCTTGCTGGTCTTTGCTCCCAACGTCACTTTGCACGTCAAACCCATGCACAAGCCGAGGAGGGCATTCCCCATGCAGAAGGACTGAAGCTCAGCTGAGTTCTGCTGTACCCATCCTCCTGCCTTCTCTCTCCGCAAGGCCATGACCAATATTATTCTTGGGCCAGACATGATTTTATCATTTCAGTGCCCCCATGAAGCTCCATTTGCCTTCTGTCGCAGAAGTGAGG